GAAAGCCTTCATAGCTGGAAAACCCACAAGGACCAGAGATGAATGGCAGCATAGAGCTTTTTGCTTAAGCTTTTCTGACACTGAACTTTCTGGAATTGTTTTGGTACAGTTCTGCTTGGTGGCAGAGGGTTCAGTACACTCTGATGTCCTTTCAAAACCTAGGAAGTGCCACACTGAGTCCTGTCCTACACACACACACACACACACACACACACACAGAGAGAGAGAGAGAGGGGGGGGGGCATATATTTAAAATTCCTTAAGGCAGACTTTCCTTGGCCATAGTACTTAACTGCATGAGCTTTTCCAGATGTGAGGCACTCACTCCATGGGAAATAACAAAGAATTTGTGAATTAAGGAAATTACCCAGCTTTTATGCTATTTTCCCCCTGCATGGTTATACATTATAAACAGAATGTTGAGGTCAATCAGCAAAATTTGTTAGAAAATGCACTCTCAGAATTGCTGTACTTAATGAAAATCAGGTTTATTGAGGAAAACTAAGGCAGCTGGTTTATATTTATAACAAGATAGATTCAGTTTACACATTTCAGGGCTCTGCACTGAGTCACTATAAAGGGGGTAAGCAGTCATCTTAAGACCAAATAGCATATCCCAAAAGCTTCAGTAAGTAGAGAACAACAAAAAATAAATCATATACAATACACTTACAAAATATTTTCACTGTGATTTGATTTTCTTCGAGCACTGCCTTGCTTTATCTGTTTCAGATGCATTTCACTTACTTGCTTGATCCTTTTGGCCTGATATGATTCTGGCATTGTCAAGTTTTGACTTGAATAATCTACTGGCCTAAGTAATGACAAGCCTATAGTCCATTTTGATGTATACAATATTTGGAGGTCCTTTGACATTTTTATACAATCACTCTCAACTGCCAGATCCTGTGCCACTGAGGTATTCCTTCTCTCTTGCCCAAAGGCATAAATTCCCTTGGAATCATTTTGTCCAAGGGTTTCATAACCCCAGGGGCCACGAATATCTTCAGTAATTTCTCCAAGTGAGCACTAAAGTCCTAGGAACAGTGTAAGATCTCTGTCTCTTGGGTGAAGAAGGGGGTGGATTTATTTTTATTCTAGATCATTCTCAAGACATTTTGAAGTGTATACCTTATTATCCTCTCTGTTCCTTCAGACTTAGTTCTAAAAACTCAAAGAATTCTAGAGAAAGCATTTACCCTGTGGTGTTCTATCAGAGACCTGCTGTGTTGGGGCTGCTCCCTTGGTTCTGAAAATTTGCATCCATCTATTCTAGGACGTCAAATCCTGGCATTACTGGAGTTGTTAGGGTTGGAGCTTGCTCTTCCAGTCCTAGCAAGCTAGGATAAACATCTTTGTTTCTTTTCCCATTGCTGTAACAAAATTCTAAGAAAAGCAGCTTCAAGGAGAAATGATTTACCGGCTCACAGTTACAGGTTATAATCTGTCTCAGGAGGTAAGTCACAGCAGCAAGAGTGTCAGTGAATTAACTGGTCACATTGCATCTATAGTCAAGTGACAAGCAGTGGATTAATAGGTACATCCTCAGCTAACTTGCTCTTTTCCCTTCAGTTAGGACCCCAAATCCAGGGAATAGTGCCATCCACAGTGAGTAGGATCCTCCTACATCAATTAACAGAAAATACTCTCTCTCTAAATAGTCCCAGAAGCTAACTTGATCTAGATACTTGTTCATGGAGACTCACTTCCCAGGCAATTCTAGATAGTGTCAAGTCAACAATTAAAACTAACCATCACAGTCAGCCATCTAGAGGCAACAGAGAAAAATAGAGGAAGGCGATCTATTCAATGTGGTCACATTGTGAAGAGGAACACAATGACATCCATTTTCAGGGTCTGACATGAGGTTTAGGTTTAAATATAAACAAGAGACACGTGTAACTGAGCAGTGCTGGTCAAAGGTATGGTTGTACCCAACACTGACCCGTCATTGCCTAGGCTCTAGGATCTCCAGTGAGGTGCTGTGGCAAGTGTCGGAACCATGCGAATTCTTTCTCTGGCTGGCAACAAATGTCATCCTTTCTCTTTACTCAGCACGAGACTTCTAGAAAATTCCAGAGCTGTGGGTACCATTGTTTCAATATGTCATAGCACAAATGACTCAGTCTGCTAGGATGAGAACAGAAAGCAGACCTGATGTACATCAGCAAGAGAGTCAGGCAAGGTGTCGAATACCCTCCATGTCCACCATATTTTCTCTAGGGAATTTTCTTGGAGAGCACTAAATAGATGCTGTATTCATGTTCAATGATACAAGAAGTAGGTCAGGGGAGGCAAAAGTAGCACCTTTAGTTAAAAAAAAAAACAATTCAAATAAATGTTAGCTTTGTGTGCATATAAGCTTCCTGTGACCTGAAGAATTTGAGACTTAGGTAGAATAGTTATTTTAGAGCTACCACATAAAAAAATGTCATGTACCTGCATTCATATATTAATAATGTTTCCCCATTATCTTCTCAGGTAAAGATTAATATATTGGTACATGGAAATGCTTGGGCAAAATACAAGTGTTTATTAGCCACGTTCTTACATTTAAAATAAAAATAAACTTATGCAGAAAATGAGTTTACTGATATTACTAACAAAAACCATAAGACTTGAGTGAGAATAGAGGCAGCAGAGCACTGCTTATTTTTTGCTATAATATTTGTGTTTGAGTTGTGGGGATAAATTCAGCGGAAATTGCTGTGGGATGTCCTGTATGTTAAATGTGTTGCTCTGATTAGTTAATAAATAAAACACTGATTGGCCAGTAGCCAGGCAGGAAGTATAGGCAGGACAAAGAGAGAGGAGAATTCTGGGAAGTGGAAGGCTGAGGCAGAGAGACGCTACCAGCCGCCTCCATGACAAGCAAGATGTAAGGTACCAGTAAGCCACAAGCCACGTGGCAACTTACAGACTAATAGAAATGGGTTAATTTAAGATATAAGAACTAGATAACAAGAAGCCTGCTGTGGCCATACAGTTTATAAACAATATAAATCTCTGTGTGTTTACTTGGTTGGGTCTGAGAAACTGGGCGACTGGCAGGTGAGAGAGATTTGTTCTGACTGTGAGCCAGGCAGGACCAGGAAAACTCCAGCTATAGGAAATAGATTAGTTTCTTTAATTATTATTTTATTATTCATTTCCCTTACAACTAGAAAAGCCATGGTAGACACCTTGTGTAGAAAACTCCTTCCTCCACTGTCCTATTTTGCTATATTTACTTCTTGCTCTTCTAGCTAGAAAGAGAATGTATTCCAAGTACTTATACAGTCTTTCATGGTTGTTTGTTTCTTAGGAAAAAAATCTCAAGAGTCTCTTCCATCTGTAACAGTCAGCTTTCATGGTTTAAAATGGAAATCAAAGTCATAATTCCTTCCTTAGGACAAGCTGTCTCAATGGACCTGGATTTAGTGTTTCTTTGAAGCCAAACAAGGCCCACCCAACAAGCTTGGCCAGGGAGGGATCAACTAAGGGGAAGCCAAACAAAAGAGATGGCCAGGCTTGCCTGAAGTGAGAACCTGGGCTCTGATGACTGAGCAACCTCAGCTTGGCAAGACTCAACTACAACTTGAGAGACAGGCCAGCCCCATTGATTTCTCTAGCCACCATAACCTCTCCAGACAACAGGACTCACAACTTTTTTGATTATGCTATTGAAATAAGAAAAATGAGACATCCAATATATACAAAGACTTGGATCAATATAGTTATCAATGAAGTAATTGCAATTATTTGTTATGTCATGTGATGGCAAATAGAGACTAGTGAAATGTGTGAGGTGGGAGGAGATGAAAGAGATCTTTTTATTTTTGGAAGTGAAGAGAACCAGCTCTGATGGAGAAAACAAAGAGATGGTTGTTAACATCTTGAGACTCTGATAATGCCCATTAAGTCCATTTCCTGGTTCCTGTGCAGATGTGATACTACAACAGGCACATGGCAGCATCTCCATGTATCTGAAGCCTGTGGCACATACAGGGAAGTGAGAAGTATGTAGCACAGACACAGACAAGGCCTGACCATGAAGTCTGTGCCAGAACAATCGAAGGGACTTTTCTGTAGGCTTGAGAATCTACAATATGTCCTACAATCAGATAGCAGTGCTTTGATGGAATAATTTGCCTCTCTGGAACATGTCTATTATAGTAAGTAGCTCAGAAGGTTACAGCTACACTGCAAAATGGATAAAGTATGCAGGGTTCTAACATGAATCCACATCTGCACATTTCCAACCTTAAACATGCAAAACTTTGGTGAAATTAACTAAGGACTAGCAATTGCCTGTCTTGTGTCAGGACCATGTAACTGGTTGTTAGGATACAGGACCAAAGGATGGCATTATGACTTTGTGCCAGTGATATAGAAAACTGTGTTTTCTTCCATGCTTTCTCCATAATGATGGGTGAATCAGATAACCCTTTTTGTACTCATACAATGGTCATAACTCTGAGAAACCCATCCATGTGGGAAACTGGGAGTCAAGACCATGTTCCAACATGAATTGGAGGAACAAGAGCCTGCATGGTGTATACTTGCCCTGTGGGCAGAGCCATCCTCAAATGGCCTTTGGCATGCTTTACTCTTGCCTCTGCTTGTTGGCAAGTTCAAAAATACCTGGGATGAATCAGTAGACTCTTCACCATAGCTTTCAGCATGGGCTGGGCAATTCCTTTGAAAAGCCTAGATCTGACATTTTTGTCTGTCAATTTGATAAAGGTGAAGCCATACAGACATCTCTATTCTACTAGAAGCAACAGCTACTGTGAAATATACACAGAGATTTAAAAAAAGTATCCTGCTGGGAGAGCAACTTTTTAATGAATGGAGACCCATCTCACCTCCATAAGCTCAGGGTTAGTCTTCTGAAAACCTGCTTTCAAGATTGTCTCTCCATTATCATTAATTATCTTTTGTTGCTAAGAGAGTCACTAAATATGCCATTTGGGTGACAATGACCAAATATGTGCTATAAATGACTTCTGTCTTTTCAGATGCAACAGAGCAAACTGAGTAATCAACATGCTTTGAAAAACATTACTTGTGATCATTTCATCAAGTGGCAGCACACTGCTCTTCAATGAATGGAAACAAGCAAAGATGGATCACTTTGAAAACAATGAAGTTATGAGTTAGATTAGGCTGTGTGGATTGAATCCTGGTATTCCATTTCAGGTTAGTCAGCGGTCCTGCAATGCTCAGATCCTGGGGGGGCCCCAGGATCCTTCTGAGTTGTTTATGTGTCCCAAACTCTTTTCACAACAGCACATATTATTTTTCCTTTTTGTCTCTATTGGCATCTTTACCAACTATTACATAGCCAAGGTGTATGCTGAGCAGAAATTGAGGTAGTGGTACCAAATTATGGCATTAAATACTATTTCTCCTCACCATCACAGACTCATAGTAAAATTCGTGCTGCAACCACTCAAGGATACCCTGGTAAAATGGGAAGAACCAATGATTTTTATTAAATTCTAATATTTGAATAAGCCTTTTTTTCTTACTGTTCTTTATAGCAAGATGATAAATCTAAAACATTTCTTCTATATATTGAAGGATGATGGTTGTTTAAAAAAATGTATGGTTTCACTTGAGCTGCAAACCACACTAGACATTTTAAAAATGAATCACCACTCATTTTTACTGAAAAAATGACTAATTATAGTTATTTATATTTGAATGTTTGACGTATTTTTTTTCTGATTATGAACAAGGTCTGTCACTGTCAGAAAAATAACTCAATGGTAGAATCTAAATTTTCAAGCAAAGTTTAAAATGTTAATATCTGTCACCTGGAGCTTAACAACTCAGTATTTTAAGCTGTTTGCTGACCATGTTACCATGTTATTGTAATTTTAATAAACTGACTTTTTTGATGTGGTTGTCACAGTTTGGAAGCTGTGTCCTGTGTCCTGGAGAGATCCCCCTCCCCCCCGCAGTTAGAGCACATGCTGCTCTTGCAGAGGACTGGCGTTCCCAGCCCCCAATGGCGGCTGTTCCCAACCTCCTGTTAACTCCAGCTCCAGCATAGCTGACGCCCTCTTCTGGCCTCTGCAGGCATCTCATCCATGTACATACTCTTCCTTTCCATATATTCATATGTTTAAAAGAATTAGAAGACTTGCCTACCTCAGTGAAAGGGTATTTTCCAGATGAGGAATGTATGATGTTCCTGCTTTCTTTAGGGTAAAAGCTAAGGCAAAAGGTAGGAGATAACAATGAATTTTATCGATAGAGTGTGGAAAGTTTGCTGATACAGTTTTATTTTCCATATTGCAAGTAATATCCAAGAGCTCCTGCTTGCCAACGTGTAAAACTGTGGTATGACTATCTGAAAAGGCATTAAAAACACTTCTCTCTTTTCTAACTATAAATCTGCAAGAGGCAGTGTTTTCTTTATATGTTTCAACCAAACAACATCCCACAGTAGGTTAGATACAGGAACTGGAATGAGAACCCACATGTTTTCTAATTAGATATTTTGTGTTTAGAAACTACAGCTATTTTCACAAAATATATTGCTTAGGTTAGTGTATAATGTGCCTTTTCTTATTCTAAAATAATGGATGGATATGTTTTAAATTTAACTTTTTGTTATTGTTATGGTAAGTATCTACAGACATAACCCACACAAACAAAAGCTATTTGAATTCCTCAATAATCTTTTAGTGTATGAAGGAACCCTGAGATCAAAACATTTGAGAACTATTTTACTTTAAGAATTGGGCAAACTCAATTCTGCAACAGCTATTATCACCAACCTAAAGGAAAAAAATATGTGCACTGAGATGAAAATAAAGGCACTCTATTGCAAATTAGATTATATGCAAACTTTTTTTTTTCTAGCTGGTAACATGATATTTGCTTGCTAGACGGTGAATAGCAGTCTCTGGGGAATAATTGGAGACGGGGTATTTAAAAATTCTGATAGTTAAAACTGTGCTTGAAAAACAAATTTAAACATTTTGGACATATTCAAATCTTAATTTCCTTTAATTCCCTAGCAAATGAAAAGCCTTTCCTATAGAAGCAGAAATGGTTGCTAAATTACTGAATGTTTCAGACTGGAGACTTCCTTTCCCCTCACTCCACAGTTTAGATTATGACTGATCTCTGCTCAGACAGAGGCTTCCTCGTGATCCACAGAGCTAAGCAGCTCACCATTCCTTGGCATGAGCTGCATTTTTTATTTTCTTTCTTTCTTTTTCCTTTGTGTGTGTGCTGCATATTGAAGTTTTATTTTCATACAGTATTTTGGCCTTGTGATAATAACATGCATTTGTAAACATTGCTTTTTAGATTGAGCCAGCTAAATCATAAAACTTAAAAGCTTCCTGAGCTTATTGCCAGCACATTTGAGAAGAAGTGTTATGTGGAACTGTAAGGGAAATAAACCCTGTCCTCCCCAAGTTGATTTTAGTCATGGTGTTTCATTATAGCAATAGTAACCCTGACTAGGACATGGGGTATGTGAGTTGTAGTTTCTTTACAACAAGCTCTCAAGCTCCCCACCTTCTGATGGTCAGTCACCCTTTACTGATCCGTCCCATGCATCTCCTATCCCTTCCTATATACACCTCATATATTTTCCTCAAACACACCCTTGTCTAGCACATGTTGGGTCTTGAGTCCCCTATTTCTGTTCCTGAAGTGGTTTTATTCCCCTTCTTTGTTTATACCCAACACATTTTCCCATCCATTCACAAAGAACAACAACAAAAACAAACAAACAAACAAACAAAAAACAATTTGTTTTATCCATTTACTCACTTAACAAATAGGGGATACTCCATGTTCCAGTTAGCTTTAAGTCATCTGAGTAAGTACTGAAGTCTTCTCTATTAAGGAATCTCTCAATCAGAGAACCTCTGGCCATATCTGTGGTGATTGTCTTGATTATTAATTGATTTAGGAGGGCCCAGCCCACTGTGGATGGCACAATTCCTAGGTAGATAGTCCTGGGTTGCATAAGAAAGCTCACTAAGCATAAACCCATAAGCAAGCCAGCAAGCAGTGCTCCTCTGCAGTGGCTTCTGACTTCAAGGTTCTGCTTGAACTCCTACTCTAACTACCTTAAATGATGGACTTGTGACCTCAAAGTATACACCAAATATGTCCTCTCCTTCCCAAGACTGCTTTTGGTAAGGGTGTTTGATCAGAGTAGCAGAGAAGGAGCTAGAACATTCTGCAAAGGTCATAATGGGTCTCTGTTTTCATGTCAGCGAGCATCCTGGGAGTGACAGTGGGACAGTCTCAGTGACTGTTCATGTAGGAGACCTGAACCCGAGTGCTGTGAGTGTGGGGAGTGCAGGGAGAGGTTCACATGGGGAAGACACATCAAATAATGACGGGGATAATCAGAAGCAGGCGGCATTCAATATAGGGAGGGCTCTGTGGCAGGAAGGAACAGCTGGAGGATGGGGCTGGAGTGCAGTGAGTCAGCAGGGGCACAGTGCCCTTGAATTTGGAGTGTGCAGAACCCAAAGCAGACAGAAAAAAAAGCATGTGACCATATAGTTTTTAACCTAATGAAACTTTAAAAACTGGAAAAATGATGGATTCTCAGAGCTCATGGTGGTTCCTGTAAAATGGATTAGAGATAGTTTAGGGTCAATACAGGGAGGCCAGTGATGTAATTGGTTTAATAGTCCTCCAGCGTAATGTTGGTTGCTTGGATTAGGAAGGTGAAGGATGTGGGTTTAAGACTGAGTACACAGTGGACTTGAAAACTCGATGGCTGGTGGACTGGCTCCAGCAATGTAGAGAGAAGTAGGGACCAGGGATGAAACCTGAGATCCTAGATGGAGCAACTCAGGATGGAAAGGGTCTGCATACTGAGCCAGGCAGCTCCAGCGTGAAGGCAAGGCTCCAGAGAGAGCTCATGACTCCCTTTGGCACAATTAGTGACTGCTTTAGCCTTGGACTCATACTTCTTACTGTGATTTGCATGTGGAGTGTCCCCTCAAATGCTTAAACACGTGTTCCCAGCTGGTGGCTCTGTTCTGTGAAGTTTTGGAAAATTGAGGAAGCTTAGTCTTTCTCAGGAAAATGGACCCTAGTGGGTGGGCCTTGAGGCCTACAGCCCAGCTCTGCTTCCTGTTGTCTCTCTCTTCATCCTGGTCCATGGAGACGCGGGCAAGAAGCCTTACTCTCTCAACATCATGTGTTCCTCACCATGATGAGCTGAAATCTCAGTCCATAAACCACAAAGAATTCTTCTTCTTGTGTGTGTGTGTGTGTGTGTGTGTGTGTGTGTGTGTGTGTGTGTGTGTTTCATGTCAGGTTTGGGTCACAGCAATGAGAAAAGTAACTAATCTCTCTCTTTTATACTACTACCATTTTATACACCATTTGTTAGGTTTAAAGCTTTTGGGTTTGTGTTGCCCTGTGATGGTATGATCCACCTTTGTATGAACATTGACAGGTAACAGAGCACAGCTTCCCTTCATGGAAAAGTGAAAGGACAACATACAACACAGGCTCAATCCCATACAGAGTTCTCAGATCAATGTGGCTTTGGCAACTTCCTGACTCCAGGTTAGAAAGACGTGGCGTCGCCACCCTGAGATACCAATACTGACTACGTTAGTAGTGGCAGCAGTGGTGGACCAGAAAGCCGGTCAGACTGTTCTTGCAGCATACACATTGCTGTACACACTGCCCAGCTTCCTTGACACCTGTCAGTTTATGAACCCAATCCTATGTCCTTCTGGTTGAGGGGAAATTCCTCATGATGCCGATGAATGATATCTAAGATGGTGATGACAGTTGGTGACATCTACTGAATGTCTTATGTGAGGCAGGCGTGGCTCTAGATAGTTCAGGTACATCTCATCCTTTAATCTTTATGAGCGGTGGCTTCTGTCTTAGCCCCTGTGCCACAAATGAGAGGCAGAGGGAAAAAAAAACCCACATGGAATCAGTACCACTTTGGTACTGATTCTTTGTCTAGTCAGTGATAAAGACGGAGGGAAGACTTCAGAGCCTGGCTCCAGAGCCAGTCTTTTTTTATTAAGGTTAGATTCTGTGGCTGGTTACCAAGAACCTGGCCATACATTTCTCTTCATGGTCTGTTTTCCCTACGAGTCAGTGAGTACGTTAAGGTTAAATGCTGGGTATAAATTGCTTTCATGCTTCAAACAGTGAGATTGCAGTTGAGTCTCAGAGCACCC